ACATTTAAGTGTCATAATAATCTCAAAAATCAATGATCTTAAACTCATTGGATTTGTTTAATTGAGGTGCTCAATTTCATTATAAACACACAAGATTCCAAGACCAATTGGTCATTTAATTAATGTCTCAAAATTCTCGAATATGCTTTAAATTCTTTATTTTGGTTATGTTGTTCTCCGATAAAATCATTTCTAATATCATTGGGTTCACCTTATTGAGACTTCAATTTCAACTATATGTTTGTTGAAATCATAGTTCAAATGGTTTTAAATTTAATTCTAAAAAATTTTAATATAAAATAATTCATTTTATTTTTTGTTGGTCAAGAAGATTTCATATGAGATATCAAGTATGATTGAGGGTCAATATAACCTTATTCGTGAATGCAACAACTTGATTGATATCCTCTTAAGATTGTGATAAAAGGATTATTTGGGTGATAATAAAACGGGAATTTAAATTTTGGACATATTTGGATTTGAAACTTTTAAGCTATCAAAATATGAGTTTTTCTTGGAGAAAAAAATTAACTCCAAATCAATGATTTGAGATATTAGAAAAGTAATGGTATCGTTTTTATGAGTTTTCGGTTAATGTTTGAGAAGTTATGATAATTTTAATTTAGTTACTTATTGTACATTGTTTACTCTTTCTTTGAGATTTTGGTTTTATTATCTTAAAGTTATAGGGAGTTGAGGTCTCGAAAGGTTATGAAGGACTTGAGGGAATATTTTGACAGTTTAGAAGATGTTGGATGGATTTGGGATTGAGGAAAGCTTGCATTCAAACTATGAAGAGGAGAAAAAAATTAATTCAAGAAGAGGAGTAATGGTATGATACTATTACTAAGGACTCACCAAAATCCTTAGGAATCAGCTACCAAACTTCACCAAAGAGTAAGAGTAGTCAATAAAACTTCTCACACAAAAATTGATAGTTTAAATCTTTTTGATAAAATTATATTTAGCCTTAAAAGCATTATGTTTAACATAATAATGAATTCAAATATAAAGAAACTTTATTTTAATCTTTTATGAATTTTGAAAAGCAAGCAATCCTTTCAAACATTAATGAATACACGGTGCATATAAATTTTGAATGGTGATCACAAAAATATAATTTATAGCTAACTTATATTAATTCTAATTCAAGGTTTGTGTGTGTGTGTAACTCGCCCTTTTTATTCAAAAATTATAAATTATTAAAAACTCATCAAAATGTGTGTAACTTAGATAAATTTACATTTATAAGAATTATCAAATAACATACAATTTTTTGATTTTTTTAATATATTATCAAATAAATAAATTTAAAACTTTGGGACAATAATAATAACCTTCATTGTAGAATAATAAATCTTATTAGCATTGTACCTAAATTTTTTCTATTTTTGAAAAATTAGATCCCCAGCAAAAAATTTAAACTTTTTACTGCAAATGACGTGTGCCTTCAAACTCCTTAGCCTTAACTTCATTGGAACCCTTGGATTTTATACCACAATAATATAGGGTTGATAAGATCTTGTTGATGAAAACAGCTTGATTGATATCCACTTAGGGTTATGATAAAAGAGTTATTTAGGTGGTGGTAAAATGAGAATTTAAATTTTGGATAAATTTGGAGCTGAAAATTTTAGGTTGCCAAAAGATGAATTTTCCTTAAAGAAAAATATTTAGAAATTATGAATCAAAGTTTTAGAATGTTAGGGAATTGATAGTAGTGATTTATTGATTATGGATCAGTGATTGTGGAGTGATAATATTTTTAATTTAACTATCCATAGTAAAAAACTATTTCTCATGAGTGGAATTTTAGTTATGCTATCTTAAGGTTATTGGTGATTTAAAACTTTTGAATGTTATGAGGGATGTGTGGGAATATTAGGGAGAGTTTAGAGGAGTTTGGATGGATTTGGAGTTGAGGAAAATTAGGCTTGAAGATATGGAGAGGAAAAGAAAATTATGTCCAAAAATAGGAGTAATGGTAAGAAATAATAACTAGGGACTCATCAAAGCCCTAGGGGATCAACTATCAAGCTTCACCAAATAGTAAAATAGCTATAAAGCTTCACCAAATAGTAAAACAACCATCAAGCCTTTTGACAAAAAATTTGTTAAGTAATAATAATTTTTGTTCAATGAATTAGAAAGTACAATGTAAGATCTTATTTATAGAATTTTTTTCAAGCATACAAAAGTTTTTAGAAATCTTAGGAATAAAAAAAATACTATTATAATGATTGATAGTTTGTCTTAATATAAAGAAAAAAAATAATGAATAAAATAAAATTTAAAGCATCCAAATACAAGAAAGTTCAAATTGGCGAGTAAGACAAAAAGTGTGATATTAAAAATTTATCAATTTATGAAACCTTTTTTATAAATATGGCCCACATACTCATCGGGCCTTAAATTAAGCTTTTTTTAAATTATTATCCTATAATTTTAAGAGAACTATAGAATGTTCATGGGCTTGCTTTGAGAGTTATGCATTATGAGTAACCCAAATCTTGATGTCAAACCTTTATTTATGATTTTATCCATGGTCTTTACCTGAACTATTGTATTTGTTTCACTATTTCTAAATATTATGTCTTTTAAGTAAATTCTGGATTGCTCTATTTTTTTTTTAGTTATTTTAATAGATGTATAAGAAATTAGAGGCCATCATCCACGAAAGAGAAAAAAAAACCAAGAAAATTTCAATATTCTTCTACAGCCAATACAAAAATAAATATTAGTATAATAGTAACAAAATTGAAGACACTTTTCCCTCCATAACCATTACTAATACTACTCAATAATTCATCATAAATATCTTTGAAACATATATTTCTTCTTTAAAATAAAAGAAATTAATTCTCATTGTACTCAACTATATATCTTCTTAAGATCAAATAAAAATCACTGGGGTATCATTTCGAAGCTAACAGTACTTATTTTTAATTATTTGAATAAACAATTGCTTCTATAAAATTCTTCCTGACATTAAGCTAAATTAATTATCTAAATGATTATAATATTTTTAAGCATATAATCCATTATGACTTTAGGCGATCAAGTTATTAATAAGAGAACATGTTTTAGATATCTTGAGTATATTGTTCAAAGTGATGAAGAAATAGATAGGGATATTATTAGTAGAATTCAAGTTTGATGGTTGAAGTAGAAGAATGCATTGAGCTTTGTTGTGTGATAGAAAAGTACCCCTCAAACTAAACGAAAAATTCTATATGATGGTGGTGAGAACTATAATGCTTTATGGCTTAGAATATTAGCCATTAAAAGAGAAGCAAAAAAGTTAAGTGTTGCATAGATGAAGATGCTCAGGTGGATAAGTGGCTTCACTCTTAGAGATAGAATGCAAAACACGAATGTACATGAAAAGTATGGACTAGCTCCAATGGTAGATAAAATTAGATAGTTATCTTATATCATATAGACATATAAAACATTGACCTTCCAATGACCCGATTATAAATTAGATGTTTTGAATCTAGTCAATAAGAAAGGTAGAGGTAGACGCAATAAGACTTGGCTAGAAAATATTAGAAATGATATTTTTTATAAAATTGAAATGAAAATTTAACTATTAACATAACACTGAAAAAAAAAATTCATATATCTGATCCTATGTAATGGGATAAAGGTTTGATGTTGATGTTGTTCCATTAATATCAAAATACTCAAACTCTAATAATTTGAAATGCTTTTCAATGTTCATTGCAAGAATTTTTAACCAAGTAACTATAATATATTTTATAACTATGCATTTCTCTATAGATATCTCATATGAACCTATATATTTACCTTTATTTATTTTTTAGAGTTGATCTATCATGCACAAACACGAACATGATGATATGAAAATGACACGTCACAAACACAGGACATCAATTATTAAAAATATAAGACAGACACAACTCAGACACGATGACATAGTTTTTCATATTTTAAAAATAATGTATAAAAAATAAATAAGAAAAAATATTTAAAATAATTTAGAAGTAATAAATAAATTAAGTAAGATTTATAATTAAAATGATTAATATTAGAATGTTGGAGATTGATGTCATGTTAGGCATCAATAGGGGAGACGACAATGCTATCAAAATTTAGGTATTTTTGTGTAATGTGATCGGACATTAATATCAAGACAATGCCGAACTTCAATCTCAAGATGACATTAGTAGTTTAGGTTATTATTTTATTGGACAAAGATGAGATGCCGAGAAGGAACAGAAATATAATTGTCGGTTCAGAAATTGTCGATGCCAAACATGAATGTCAGCACGACATCAAAGTTTGATTTTGAAATGATTTGAAATAATTTAATTTTATACTACCAGAGAGAAATAAAACTGAAAATCTTCAAGGAAAGAGGTATAGTACAAGCAATTGATTTGTGACTTTGGAGAGAATAAAAAATTTAGTTCTATTTTTTACAATATATAAATATACAATAATTTAGATTTAAAAAATACACAATATTTTAGACACATACTATTTTTCATTTTTTTAATTAGACATCTTCAACATGCCTGAAACGTATTTAGGGTCGAAAAGGTGTAAAACGTGTGAGATGAATGTCAAAGGCACATCAGATGTATGTAGAAAACATTTCAGACTGAGTGTTACGAGTTAAACATTGTATACATCTTTGAGAAAAAGTGTCAGTGAATTATAAGAGCAAACTATAACCTTTTGAGATTTATAATATTTTCTGTTACACTTACTATTAGGTTTTTCCATTTTTTTTTTAACTCTCAGTATTTTTATGTGCCTTATCTTTAGCTATGTCAAATTAAATTCGCTTCTAATGCATTTAATTTGATCAAGATCTTTTAACTCTTTTATCTCTCATCTTTAGTAAGTTTCATTCTATTCTTACATGATATTAAATCAATTATACAAATCATCTAATTACATCAACCAGCCAAAAACTAATTCATCATATTCCCACATAAAAATTAAGATCTACTCAAGTCAATATAAGCTCGTAAAGTCATGCTCATAAAAATATTTTCATATGAAGTCATGCTCATAATGCTCATAAATCAACATGTGCTCACAGGTACAAAATATAATTTTTTTTAAAATATATATTTCTTACAAATCAGAACAGTTTAACAAAAAAAAAAGCTAAGCAAGAAAAAAAAGGGAACCAAACAAGAGCTTCATTTAGCAAATAACAGAATCTTGAGGACAAATGCGAGAAGCATCTATCGAGTAGATGAGTTTACATCACCGTCATGGACATAATTTGGCGAGCAAGACCTGGATCTTGCTGAAGTAATTCTCTTATGTTGTTTTCCACCTCTGCAAGCTGTTTCTCCAGGTATTCTTTTGAAGTCTAAATCAAAAACCAGATCAAAATAATGTTACTCAAAGTTTAATAAAGGTGTTTTGCACTTTAATCATTACACTAATAATCATTATCAAGGTGATTAGTGGCCGTAGATATTTTTCCATAGAACCAAAATCATGTAGCAACATCACATTGCTGACAAGCATTAAGAAACTGTATAATGATTTGAGCAAACTTAAAAATTTTACAAAGAACTTCATGAGAAAAACTGGTGCACGGCATCCTGACAAAAATTTATTTACGATAGATTTTAAAATCATTCAACTTAATTTAGAATGAGTGTATAATATTACTAATCAATCAACAATTATATTAGAATCATCTAAAAGCAAATTTAAATATTTTAAAGCTAATTATAATTTAAATTTGATTTAGAAAACCTTTCTCTATGTTTACAACGGATAATATTTCGTTGAGGATAGGTTTTCAAATTGTTGGACTTAATTTGAAATAAATACCAATCAATCAACTCAAAAAAATTCAATAATATCAAAACACATTCGGACTAAATTTTGATCAGACCAATTTTATTCTAGCACAAATGACTTCGGTGTGTAAACTACACAAAGTATGCATTCGAGTAATGACTAACTAATATTCAGAATGCACAATAAAGATGCTACAAGAACAGAAATAATTGTGGATTGATTCAATGTCTCGGTTAAGATCTCGATTTATATTGCATATCACATCAAAGTAGAATGTCAATATTCGATTTTTTTTATTGCCTTTTATGCATGAACCACTTAAATAAATGAATGATTAAAAGTTTTACAAAATGAAACCGTTTACTCCATAAGACAGAATTTCAAGTGATTCTCATTTATGATAAACAGTGAATGACTGAACTGTAATCTTAAAATGGTTAAAATATTATAGAGAGATGCCTTTATAATATTGCACCTCAACACTAGTTATTAGCAGAACTCAATTTTCTTTTTAATGATCATATCAAGATGCTAAGTCCATCAATTTATCATGTATCATTGCAGTGCCTGTACTAAAATTTTTCATGGTGGTAAATGCAATTTACAGCAATAACAACAACAATATTAAACCTTTGTCCCACTACGTGGGGTCGGCTACATGAATCCTTTTTCTTTATTGTCCTGTTAAAAGTAAAATTCTCATTTAAATCTAATTAAAAAATATCATTTTTAATATTTTCTAACCAAGTCATTTTAGGTTTACCTCAACCTTTCTTAACATAAGCCAAATCTAATATATCTACTCTCCTAATTGGGTCATTAGAAGCCGCCATTTTATGCGACCAAAACATCTAAGATGACTCTCTCTAATCTTATTCTCCACTGGAGCTACTCCAACATTTTCACATGTATAATCGTTCTATATCCTGTCTCTAAGAGTAAAGTAACTCATCCACATGAGCATCCTCATCTCTACAACACTTAACTTAGTATTATGTTTCTCTTTTAATGGCCAACATTCAGCACCATAAAGCATTGCAGGTCTCACCACCATTTTATAAAATTTTCCGTTAAGTTTGATGTGGACTTTTCTATCACACAACAAGTCTGATGTATTCCTCCACTTCAACCATCCAACTAAATGCAATTTAACAAAGATAAATATATAAATACCTGCAAAGATGTTATAGCAGCTTCACTATCTTCAAGCTTCTGCTTTTGCTCCACCACCATGACCGATTTTGGCTCCAGAACAAACCTGGCCATCATCAAAAGAAATACTTAAATATAGATGCATTTACCTACCTAAGGTCACCAGCAAATGAAATAAGATTTCTTGATAAGGTAATTTCTCGTTGATGTCTCACAGTTTTCCTGCAAGAGTAACAAAAGTTCAATTAGGAAACAATGTTAATTTGCACAATGAATACACTAAAAAAACATGAATATTAGTATGAAATATTTATTTTTGCAGTTTACAGAAACAAGAAAACAAGACACAGGGAAACAATGATGTTGCTAATAAATTTACTAACTTGCCAAAACCTGAAACGACTCAATAATATTAAGCATTCCTGGTTCATTATGCTGATGCAGCTCCAAGTGCAATTTACACCTCTCTACTAAGCTGATCGTATAATTCTGTGTCAATGCTGATATCCTACGGATGCTGATCATCATTTGGGGTAACATAAACCTTGGTGTTCAGCATACTTATTCTAGAGCATCGAGACACCTTGAATGAATGAAAGTACTTGGAATTTTTAACACAATGGTGTACTGCTGATCTACTGGCAGAATTTAATGGCAATGGAATATAGCCTTGAAAACCAAACTCTATGCAAGTTGATTTTCGGGATGAAGTTTTAATGTTACCAACTACTTTTGAGAAATACTCCCAAGGCTAGGGCTGCAAACGAACCGAGCCGAGCCGAGTATGTGAGTGTTCATATTTGTGTTCATTTAATATCAACTTGTTCAAGTTTGGTTCATGTTTGTTCGAGCTTGATTGTTTGTGTTCATGTTTGGTTCATTTAAATTAATGTGTTCATGTTCGGTTCATGTTCAGTTCATGTTCGTTCGTTTAGTGCTTATCAAGCTTGTTCGCAAACATATTTAATGATTTTTTTTAACTATCAAACAAATACATTCATGAACATATCTATGAAGAAACACATTTATAATAAAAGTAATTGTCTATGTAACAAAGGCAATGATTATTTATATTTATTAATTTTATAGTCAAATATTAATTAATTTTATCTAGCTTATTCACGATTTCAAAATCGAACACGAATCAAGCTTTTATCGAGCTTAATGTCGAGCTAGTTCACAAACTTCAAATGATGTTGTTCGCGAACATAAATGAGCCGAACGCATTAGTGTTAAAGTTTGTTTATTTAAGAATTGAGTATTTAAAATATTGTTCAAGTTTGTTTGTTTAGCTAATTAAACGATCACAAACGAGCTTTAATCGAACCGAACAACGAGTAGCTCGTCGAACATTTGGTTCGCTTGCAGCCCTACCTAAGGCAAGCAACTAATAGCATCATAAACTGCAGTGACTTTAGCATCAAAACTATCAGACAAACAACGTAAAACTTTATTGACTTCCTCAAAATTACATAGTTCCCTTCTCCAGGCATGCCACTATTTTGGTAAACCAAATGTACATGTCAGATATAATTTCACTAGGTTTCATGCAGAAAAATTTATATTCATGCAACAATAAATTTAAATGGGATTGTTTCACTTCGTTTTGACCTTCATATGTGATACAAAGTCTATCCCAAATTTTCTTACCAGTTGTACAAGTAGAACTCTCATATAATCTTCTGATTTAAGTACAACAACAACAACAACAACATCAAGCCTTTATCCCACTACGTGGGGTCGGCTACATGAATCTTTTTTCTCCATTGTGTCCTATTAAAAGTCAAATTTTCATTTAAATCTAATAAAGAAAGGTCATTCCTAATATTTTCTAACCAAGGCTTTTTAGGTCTACCCCTACCTTTCTTAACATAAGTCAAATCTAATACCTCTACTCTCCTAACCGAGTCATCGTAAGGCCACCGTTTTATGTGACCAAACCATCTAAGGCGACTCTCTCAAATCTTATCTTCTACTGGAGCTACTCCAACCTTTTCACATATATGCTCATTTCGTAAAGCCACTCATCCACCTGAGCATCCTCATCTCTGCCACACTTAACTTAGTATTATGCTTCTCTTTTAATGGTCAACATTCGGCACCATAAAGCAATGCAGGCCTCACTACCATCTTATAGAATTTTCCCTTAAGTTTGAGGGGTACATTTCTATCACATAACAAGCCCGATGCATTCCTCCACTTCAACCATCCAACTTGAATTCTGCTGATAATATCTCTATCTATTTCACCATCACTCTGAACAACAAATCCAAGATATCTAAAACTTGTACTCTTATTAATGACTTGATCGCCCAAAGTCACAATCCCCTCACTAGGTCTATTATTACTAAAATTACACTCTATATATTCCGTTTTATATCTACTCAAGCGAAAACCTTTAGACTCTAAGGTTGACCTCCATAATTCAAGTTTACCTTCAACTCCCTCTCTAGTCTTATCAACAAGAAGAATATCATCAGCAAAAGGCATACACCAAGGTACATCCTCTTGCAAATGTCTAGTGAGAACATCCATGACTAAAGCAAAAAGATATGGACTTAAGGCTGATCTTTGATGTAACCCAACCGAAATAGGAAAATACTTGGTCAATCCACCTTGTGTTTGAACACAAGTAATAACTCTTGCATACATATCTTTAATGATTTGAATATAAGCATTATTAACTCTTTCTTTTCAAGAACTCTCCATAGCACTTCTCTTGTAACTTTATCATATGCTTTTTTTAAATCAATAAATATCATATGTAGATCCTCCTTTTTTTCTCTATATTTATTCATCAAATCTCTTAATAAATGTATGGCTTCCATAGTCGACCTACCCGGCATGAATCCAAATTGATTTTGAGAAACGTTAGTATCACGCCGCAGCCTATGCTCCATAACTCTTTCCCATGGTTTTAAAGTATGACACATTAACTTAATACCTCTATAATTCACACAATCTTGTGCATCACCTTTATTCTTAAAAATAGGAATTAATACACTCATTCTCCACTCATCTGACATCTTTTAAGTCTTCAAAATAGTATAAAAAAGTTTAGTAAACCATGAAATTCCTTCATCTCCTAAACATTTCCACACCTCTATTGGAATATCATCAGTTCCAACAACTTTTCCACCCTTCACTTTCTTTGAAGCCTCTCTAACTTAAGTTTTACTAATACGCCGATAAAAACAGAAATCTTTATTTTCATTTAGGGTGTTAAGATCATTATAGTCAATCTTATTTTCACAATCTTCATTAAAAAGTTTAGCAAAATATCTCATCCACCTTTGTTGAATATCATCTTCTAAGAAAAGTATTTTTTGATCTTCATCCTTAATACACTTCACTTGAACTAAATCCTTACTACTCCTATCTCTTTGTTTGGCTAACTTATACATATATATTTTTCCCTCTTTAGTATCTAATCTATTATATAAATTACTAAAAATTAATGTCTTTGCATCGCATATTGCTTTCTTAGCATCCTTACGAGCCACTTTATATATTTCCCACTTTATATAATCTTCTGATTTAAGTGCATAGAAAAAAATAGTTTAAGCATTTGGCATTAAGTTGTGCATAGTATCTATCCTCAATGCTCCGTTCAGTAAATGAAATTTTAATTTTATCACCGTTAACTATTCGTGAAGAAATAGAAAAACCAACTTCTATCATATGCTACATGCAATAGCCATTTGATTACAAGAAAATAGACATACAAATTTTTCAGAAATCAATTGGAATGTTATCAAATAATGGTGGACGGAACCACTTAAACTACAACAACACACCAAGAGGTGATGAATTGATATTTTAAAAATTCTTTTCAAAAATTTCCTTTGAAAACTTAAATCAAATTCACCACAGAAAAATTTAAATGTAGATTTTGTAAAGTGGAAGTGAATTAAAAAAAAAATCAAATACTGTTATTTTTGTAGAAAAATAAATTCAAAAAAAATTTAAAGATATTAAATTTTCTTTTCTAATAACAATCAAATCTAAAAAAATCTCAAAGTTCTCAACATAAATTTGCAAGAAAGTAGAAGACAAAAAGTAAAGTGCATTAAGAAAAATAAGAACGACCACACAAGAAATTTATAATGGTTTGATCAAACTTGACCTACGTCCACTCTCCGGAATCCTCTCTAAATATTACATTAAACATTTAGTGTCTCTCCTTTTGCTCCAACAGCAAGGTGGAGAGGCCTTTACAAAATCTCTTCCACTAAAATGGTGCGTCAAAGTAAGTCGAATCTCATTCACCAAAGGTGTGGTGGAGTTGCCAGTGGCCATTTGATTCCAAGAGGTTCTTCCCGGAGTTTCCCTCAAGTAAAACTTTTGACTCATGGAGGAAGAAGATGGATGTTGGCCGGAGCAACCGTGTGTAAACTCTTGCCCTCACACTCCCTTGATCCCACAAGGTTATTCTCCTTCACACAACTTCACTCCTCTCTCCCCCTTGCTCAAAAACTCTCTTCAAACTCTCTCTCATAGAAGACTCAAGGCCCTCGACTGCCAAAGACCCTTCAAAACAGATTAAGATTTGTTTAAATAGTGGGCTCCAAAATTTTTAATTTTTCAATTCAGTCGACTCTGTTCGTACAATAATATCTGAACAATTCTCCCTTTAATATTGTATGATGATTTTCTTCGTACGATGAGTTCAAAAGTTTCAACTGATTATCCAGTACGATCTTAAAGTCGTACAGTACGATTAGGTCAATCAAATAACGGTTCATCCTGGACAAACCCTAGGCAATTAATTATCGTCTTGGTTGTTGTTTAGTTCGTACAGTATAAAGGTCAATTATACGGTACAATTACTAAGTATAATTAAATTTTGATTGATTGCTTAATTTTAGGAATTAAATTTCAAATTTGTTTAATTATGAATGATAGCGAGAATTTCTAATTATAAATTGATAGTCATGTACGATTAAAATCGTACATGACAATTAGTTTATCATAATTTCAATTTATATTTTCTTAATTTAAATATTTTAATTAATTTATGAAAGAACAGATCGTACAATACGATATAGATCATCCAATAAGATCTTTAAAAAAAATTAATATATTATGTTTCACTCCCCCCATGTGTTTCTGCACGGCTGCTAAGCTAGCATACACATTTTACAATATATTGACTCAAAAAAATATAAAAATACAAACTCTTGTAGAAATCAATCATATGCTACCCAATTTTGAGCCCAGAT